GATTTTATTCCAACGTGCCTTTTTTTCGAAAAGCAGCAATTTCAACAGATTTCGAGGGGCAAAGACGTAGCTAAAGAAGGAAACGTGAGCGGTTTCGGAGTTACGAAATGCGGAAGACGCGCACTCCCCTCGCCAACTTAAAACTTTATCATTCTACCTCTCCAGCGCTGCGATAAATATTTATTGATAAACGGCAAACGGCTCTTGAATCTTATCTGGAGACGTCACCCTACAATCAGAAAAAAATACGAAGCATATTTTCGACTCGAAAATACGAAAAACTGAAAATTTTTTACCAAAATCGATTTTAATTATTTCACGGTTGACAAAATAGGTTCATTGAGGCAGCGCTACAAGATAGAAGATAGAACTCATCTTTCTTCATTCAAAAGATGAAAGTCCGGGAGTATAAAAACGTTTTTCTAGCGATCTTTCTTTTCAGGAAAATGTTTATTTTTTTGTTGTTTTTTGGAAAATTTATTTCTTTCGGAAACATTATCATCAGCGCGCTTGTTGCATGCGTTTTGGGCATTGTTTTTGGGCTTCTGCAGCGAAATGTCGATGCTGCTGAAAAGTTTTTGGACGATCAGAGAGAAGTTGAAGATATGGACTCGTCGATTTCGACGAATATTGCGATTCTAAGCTCGACTGCCACGATGAATCTTGGAAACTATTTTGTCAACGGCACTGAAGACAGACTGACATTGAAGAACTTGTTGAATGGTACTACATGTAAGAAATCGTAAAAGTTATTTTTATGATGATTCTTGAATTTAGTTTGCTTACACATGTGCGAATTGGCGTATTACAAATATGATTCACTTAATCAGGGAGGGTGTTAAAAATCATCATTTTAATCAACAATTTTTCATTTTAATGATAATCAATTAATCCTCAAACAGCTTCTTTTATATTCCGAGCTCGATGTAATGAGGAGAAAGGACCAATTAACGATAAGCAAAGAAAATATTGAAGATTTCTTCACAATCGACATTTTAGATATTTCTGTGGTTAACAAAACTTCATTTGGAGCGTAAGTATACTAAAATTTATAAAGAAATTGAAAAATCATTGAAAGGTTCACAAGAAAAATGCTTCTTGACAAAGCGAGAAAACAGTTTCAAAAATCCGCGAGTTCGGAGCATGAAGATTTCAATTCGTCACTATTGAAATGCGCTTCAGAAATGCAGCTGGCCACAAAGGATGACATCTACTGGTACTGGAGGGACAAATGCAGAAACCATGAATCTTATGCAGGAGTTTTTCCGATGCAACCTGTTTCCGGCGAGATTAGCGGTGCTTCTTTCGACACAATAAGAATCGAGTTCAGAATCCTCGAGACAGTTGAGTTTCATAATTTTACGAAAAGTCTCCGAGAAAATAGTACACTTTTATCCACGGATTTCGCATGCGAACTTGAAATTCTTATCAATGCTTTTATATCAATGATTCACAGCAAAAACCTAGCTGAAAACTTTCGCTGTCCTACTAAAGATTCTTTTTGTTCTGATTTCTTTATTCAAACAATTCATGACAAATGTGATATGTTCTGAAATATACAACAGAAGATCTTTACATTAAAATTTATTTCTAAAACACGTCGATCTATAATTAAACGGGCAAATAATGAGTTTTTTAGGAGATTTTTATAAAATCACGTGGTCCTATCAAAAAATTTTTGCTTACAATTTTTCTTATTGACCTTGAAACTATAGGTAGAACAAAATCGAGACAAATAAATAGAAAATTTTTTTTTGATATCTACATCACAATGTCATGGAGAACATAAAAATCAAGTAATCAAGTCGCGAGACCGTCTAAGAAGGTTTAATCTCTCAAGCAAGTAGACCCCAGATTTATTTTCGAGAATAGCGACTCAACTTTTTCCACTACCAAGAAGTGCAGATTTTTGAAACATTTATTTCTGAGCTGATGTCGTTCTTGACTAAAGTTACTCAAGCTGAGCAAAGAAATACAACATCAAGAAGCATAAATTCTGATAGACTCATGATGGTTCTTTCAAAATTTCAATTCCTATTAAAATGATAAATATTTTTTAAGGATAAAGACGAGCATAAACAGTAAAAAACGAAATGTATTTGAGTAAAAGTAAGGTTCATTACTTATTTTTTTTGAAATGTTCATAAAAGACTTTTGGAACAATAATCAACGGTTGTCACAAAAACAATCGGTTGAGGGTCCAAATAAGTCCATTCTTTTTCGACCTGGCCAATTATCTGAGTCTCAATAATATTTTCGTCGTTATCTTTCTTAAAGCTTAATAAATCTGAATCTTAGTCAAAGCTATCGCCTTAGTTTGCTCAAATTGAACGAGGGAGGCTTTTATTATCAATAAGTTTGGTATATAACTAGGTCTCGAAAATCGGCGTTTTCTTGGAGCAAGGCGTGCCTTGTGGGGCCAACATTTCCACGCGCTCGGGGCTTTAACGGCTCCTCCGCCCGCTAGAGCAGCAAGAATGAGTGGCAAGAACGTGAGCGGTGGGAAGCGATCTTTTCTCAGCGGGTGACTCTCAAACCTACTTTACGAGATAAGATGCAAATACAGTGGACTGTGGCAATTACTGTGGCAATTCTATTTACCGGTATTTCCGATATAATCTCTGTCCTATTTTTCGGCATTAAAATTTAATAATTGATTATAACAAACTTGTGGTTGCCAGTTATCGCAGTCATACTTATTACAGTCGACTGTGGCAATTACGAGTGGGAGAATTACGAGTATTTTGACAAAACCCGAAAATTTTGAAAACGAGAGATTATCGACCGAAATTTTTTTTTTTGGAAAAAAAATTGAGAATGCTTGGCTGGACTCATTAAATCTTTGGCTCTGGAGTCTTTGGCTGTTCAGCAGCTTGTTGAGTAGCTTCAACTTGTTGTTCAGCAATCTCAATGACCTCCAAGAAATTTTTGAGCGCCCGAAATGGGATGAATACTCTATCCAGTGATTATGCATATGGTCCCTGTTTGTAGAGCAGGTTCTATTCAACCAGAATCAATTCACAGAAATTGTGAACAGGGACTTAAGTGAGGACCAGCGTCGAAGGAGGCCAAAAAATAGGGCAAAATCAACGCCAAGTTTGGCCTCTCAGAACTCAGACCAAAGATTTCACCTCAATTTTGCCCCCATTTTTCGGGTTTCTTTAGGCACTGGTCCTCACTAGAGTCCCTGTTCACAATTTCTGTGAATGGATTCTGGTTAAATAGAACCTGTTTTACGAACTGGGACCATAGGCATAATCACTGGATGGAGTATTCAACCGTTTTCGGGCGCTCAAAAATTTCTAGCGCTCATATTGGGACTTCAGAGGCTCAGTATCAGTCGAAAATCTAGTCCGATTCAGATGATCTCTTCATTTCGTCTAGGGACCTTTTTTAAAAAACATGAAATTAAAAAAACCGGTCAATTTTTCTGAGTTGAAGAATTATGAGTATTTCACGAAATTCCCAGAAAAAAAAGGCTCGTAATTGCCACAACCAGGTGATTTGAACAAACATGATCCCGGCAGCGAAGAGTCGGGAGCGCCCGAGAGCACGCCGTGTTTCAAAAAAACGCCGATTGTTCGAAACCTACTTGTAAAAGCCTTTAGCCAAATCGATTTTCCAGAGATACGCTGGTTCCCAAGACAAATCATTGCCAGGAACAACGAAAACTGAATTGTCAAGAAAAACAGCTGCCAAAGAACCAATACCCTAAATATTCGATTTCACCTGGTTTTATCAATACGCTTTTCTCGAATTTTTTTTTTATCCACTTACGGATGAGAGAGAGCCAATCACATCCCAGTTATTGTCCATCAGTCGCCAAATATGTTCAAGGGAGGTTTCATCCTCCCCGCCAATAAGCAGAAAGAAGGGGTAGAAATTTTAAAATATACTCTTTAACTGTTTAAGTTATATTTGAAATATGAAAGAATAATTCGCAATTTTTTTTGTTAAATATCAAAAAAACAAAATTTATCTTTCAAAGAGGTGAATCATATAGAGCACGCCCTGCCATGTCATTTATTTTAAGATATGCTCTTTATCAGATACTTCTCTTGAATTACCGAAAAAATCTTTTTACGTGGACTTACGGGTGGCTTGAAATCCTCAGATAAGTGAGTAAAACTGACAGCGCGCTAGTGCATTGCGCGCTGCGCGGGAAGCCCAAAAAGCATAAGCGCACGCCATAATCTCAGTAGGTGCTTACTGTGACCCAGTACTCGGAATCAGATGCAAATAATACCGGGTGATGAACACAAAAAGATTACCAGAAGTAAAAGGTTCATGTTTGCTAAGTTATTTTGAGAAGAAAATTAGCCGGTGACCTGGAAAACTTGGGTGAAAAATAACCCCACTTTAAGAGAATTCTTAAGCTTGTCTTCAATAGAATAATGCTATCATAAAGATTTGGTATCGTTGAAATCAGCATAAAATTCTTTATTTATATGAGGGGCTTCCATGAAAATTAGGAAACTTCGGCGTTCCCAAAAAAAACGCTAGCTATATTAAAGGAGACCTACCTCCCAAGTTTGAATAGAAAACCCATCCCATATATTTTTATAATAAAACTTACACCCTTATCCTAAAACTGACACGAACTTTAAATAATTTGTCAAAAATAATTACGTCGAGCTTCATCAGATAGCAAGAGATTTCTTCAAACAGAACCACGAGCTATATGGCGAAATCAGACCTGTTAGAGAAAGATTTTAACTTAAGTTAGTACTTTCAAAAAATTATCAAAAAAATCAAATTTTCGAACTCAAAAACCCTTTCAGAAGAAGAATATCGACCCAAACAATTTATACCGAATACAATTTATATTTTTGATTTTTCAATTGTTTGAATCCGACCGATTGTTTTTTTGGTAGCTTTTGAGTGTTTTCTTATTATATGTCATATAAGTCTTTCAATAAAACGCTTCCAGTATTAATAGGACGGGGCATCACATGATTAGGTATTTGATGAAAAAAAATGATTAATGAATATCAACCCCTTTACAAAAGGTTTCCTGAGGGCAGTCCAACAGCAGCAGACCCACAGATACGTCTAAGAATATTTCTGTTGTATTTTTATTAATGCGTCTACCTTGAATGCGATTTCAGCTTAATCCTACCCTCTTTGGTCAATGTCTCAACTGTTCCATTCTTTGCTTCATCTAGATATCCACCAATTATAGTCGGGTTATTTTTGTAAACACCAATAGAGCCACCGCGGTGATTTATTTTCGTGGAAAATGTTCTTTCTACATAATTCCCATTGTATAACTCACATTCTCTCCCATTATTTCTCTTGACATTAGAACAAATAATAGCTTAATTATTTGAATGATTATTTTCAATCTTAACGGAAAATCCAAACCTTTGCTGCCTCCGTCGTAAGATAGAGCCATGTGTTTATAAGAGTACTCATTTTTCAGATGAGTATTAAGCTCTTTAAAAAAGCATCCGTCTAATCGATGAATCTTAAGGACAATTATAATCACTTTCTCGGAATTTTATGAATTTACGTTTTTACTACCGATACATCCCCCAAATATGTATAATTTATCATTCACTATTGCTGGTTTCGATCCGCAAAGAAGTTCAGGAAAGCTGTGGAAAGATGACGAACCAAGAAAAGGTGATGAAAAAAATGATACTTGGCTTATCAGCCCACTATTCGTCACATAAGCATATGGAAGAGGATTAATATCTTCATCAAGCATGTCTCTCGACAATAATACATTGATCTGCTTCTTCGACGATAGTTTTTGATAGAAAAAGTCTCTTATTTTCGTTGCTTCGTCATATTTATAAATTCGGATCTTATTCCCTCTTTTTTTATCAAAGTTTATAAGTAAAATTTGACTGCCAATTTTCTTCGTCTTTATAGAATCCTTATAAAGTTTAGTATTAAGTCGAAAGATAAAAACATAATCCTTATAAGATTTTCTAATTGAATGAGGTATTCTGCTTTTCTCTTCAAAGGAAACCTGATTTGAAACCTGACAGTTTTTGTCATCGTCTGAACCCTAGAAATCATCTTAAATTTATATATTTCCGGCATATGCTCTTTTATTCAAGCATATTTAAAAACAAGAGCTGAGTGAGTTTGAATTTTTTATGCAAAGGGAAGAAATTTTTTAAAGCGAGAAAATACAAGGCCTCCACCAAAATCACCTTTTGGAGGTGCATGCAGTAATCCTCAAGATAAACTTTTTCTTTAACCCAAACCTTGACTTTGAGTGGTCGATGAATAATGATGGATCCTGCTGGTCAAAAAACGATTTTAAGGCTTCATTTATGGGGGTATATCTCGACTCTTACACCCTCAAAATCGCGTTTGAAAATCGGAATTTTTGACGAGAAATGACAAACAAGTCCCAATTTCGCTTAAATTTCAGATTTGAACGGGAACGGTCGGACTCATTACCAGAATTTTTGGTAACCCATTACTAATTTTCGGTAGTCGATTATCAATTTATTTTAACTTTTCACCAAGTTAATGAATAAAACACCCCACAAATTTTCTATCATACAGGCGCGGAGCGCACACTCGCTCTTTAAACGAAAAAAATCGACACTTTTTTGACGAATTTGGTAATGCATTACCAAACTTGGTAATGGGTTACCACGATTGTTAATGGGTTTCCAATCGGTAATGAGTCTGACCGTTTCCCGATTTGAATTGGTCAAAAAGTACTCCTCACAAGTTTTTATGATTAAATTAACTTCCAGGCACACTCATAAGCCAAAACATGGCCTTTTTGAAATTTTCGATTTTTAACGGAACATTGTTGACGAGGGATCCCCCCTCTTTGGGTTGTTTAGACAACGAGGAGAAAATTTTATGTTGAAAATATTTTTGCTGCTACGGAAAATTTTGAGAAAAATCCAAAATGAAATGAAATAAAAACCACCATTATTGAGATTTCGACCCCATTTTTTCGAAAATTTTCGTTTTCGCCCCATGACCAGATTGACTCAGCATAGGTTCTCGATGACGCTCTTTTATATGAGCACACTCGTTCTTCGAAATAAAAACTTTTCAGTTTTCCCGAAAAATATATTTTAAGTGTCCTAATGGAGACCCTTATTTTATTGTTGTTGACACCCTTAAATGTCCGCCGAAACCCCTTTTTATTTATCTGTTTAGGAGTCGACCAAACTTTTTCTTGAAAACTTTTAGATAAGACAATGTAGAAGATTTGTTTGAATCGATAATTATTGTCAGCCCATTTGATTTGAATATTAAACGTTTATTAAAGAAATCAGAGTCCATCCAATAAGATCCGTTCTTTAATCTTCCAAATCTGAAGAAACTTTTTTTCGTCGAAAAAGTTCAATTCAAGAATTTTTATTTCACTCAAAAAATTTGAGTTTTCTTGAAATTTGAACTCGAATTGAAGCATTTCTGTTCCAGAGAATTCCATTTCAATAGTCGAAATATGATTCAGATTTTTAAGAATAGTAAAAGGTTGATTCGGAATAATAGTTTTTGGGTAAACTTTTGAGGGGAATCGCTCCTGGGCGACTGCATTCTTTGCAAACAATGGAAAAACATCGTCGTGAAATGCGAAAAAAGGATTGCTCGTCACATGAATTTTATTCTTCGCTTTTTGTTGAATAAATTCTATCTCGACTCTTTCTTTTTGCTAGAATTAAAATAAGCAAATATCTTATTCTATAGCTACGTTCTAATGGCACGAATTTGGTGAAAATGGCACGAAAGTCGAGAGAAATTTTTTTGTGCATAGAAATCGCTCTTTTTTACGAAAAAAGTAATTTTAATGATTCTAAAAAAATGTTGCGATCGGTCCAATCACTGTCAACATAAGTGATTAAAATGCAAGGCGTTGATTGAAAACATCAACCCTTACTCTTAAGGGCCTACGCGCACCGAGCTCGCGCCGCTTTTCCAATACTCATAACTCATAAACTTTTTTTTATGTAAAAATCATAAAATTTGAGACTAATAAGGGAAAATTACTAAGGCGGGGAGTTAACCTTCAGTTACTTTTACTAACCGAAGCCTATCCGGGATAGGCTATCCACCAATATCAGTTTTTTGCTTTCGTTTAAATGTCAAGTATTAACTGCACATGATGATTTTTAATTCTTTCCAAAATTAAACTCGATTTCAAATGTCGAGTCAAACACATAATTTTGAATAAGAATTTTCTCATCGGCAACTAATCCGTTAACAAAATACTCGCATTCATCGATGTTGACTCCAGTCCGATCAGTATAATAGAGATCCTCTTGCGTGAATAACCTCGAATAGCATACGGATTCGCGCTCGTAATTGACCAAAGAACCAATCCATTCACGACCAACAGTAAGAAACTTTCCCTCTGCTTCTAATAAAATCGAGAAGAGGGTGTTTGAGAGCTCGACGCTTCTTGTGACAATCAATAATAGAAGTTTTCCCGTATCGATCTTTTCGAAGTTAATTAACTACAGTGTCTTATTTTAAGGGGGTGGTTGACGAGAAAATTTTCTTAGACTTTTTAAAATTTTGATATAAGTTTTAGATTTCTTGATAAGAAAGGAGCATTTTTGGCCACTAGTTTTTTTTGATTGGACCATAATTTTTTAAGAAAACTTTCGATTTTATGCTATGAAATCGCCATTTTCGGGAATTATGAAACGCGATTTTCGCACTCAAAACAATTTTAAATTGATTTTTTGCGAAGTTATGTTTCTTGGTCATATTTTATTTACAAAGACCTTAAAAAACGACGATTAGTGTGATGTTTCAAAAATTTCATTGCAAAAATGAGCGAAAATGACGATTTTACAGAAAACAACATGTTTTCATTCAATAACTATTTTCTTTTCTTACAAGGTGAACTTTCTAAACTAAGCGGCCCGCACGCTAAAGGGTTTGAACTTTCCTCTCGGTATTACCGAGTCGGTAAGTTTGATATTGAAGAAAAATGATAAGGGGATATAGTTTTTTACGTCTTTGAAGAAATTTTTCATCATCTTTCCGAAGAAAATATTTTTTCAAACATACACATTTAGATGCCCACATAAATTGAACCCTTTTTAAACTTATTTTCAATTAGCAAAAGAATATTTTTTGAAAAAATTTGAGATTTTTAGGTTGAAAAAAGTCTTAGCCTCGACCACCCGCCCCTTAACTGTTAAAATATGCATTTGCAACTCTTTTCAATGGAACAACATGGACCGGGTCCAAGTTGGTAAGTTCAGCTGGCAATTTTAGGTCGTCTTTCTTCCAACCTTTCTCGAATTCTTCATCGGCTCTTATCCGATTTAAAGCAATAGTCTTTGACAATTTTATAAAATTTTCGCCCATTCTGACACTCATCAAATAGAAGACATCTTTATAGCTAATTGAAGATGTTTTCGCATTGAAGTGATTGCTAGCGATGAAACCCTGAGCTTCTTCGAAGCGGTTCAAATTAAAATCAGGAGCGTAATAAAAGCACTTATCCTCTCTTGCAGTTGGACGGCTTGATATGGTCAAAATTTATTGATTTGATAAAATTGTAAATCTTACGAATTTGCTTCTTATTGAATATGTAAAAATTCAATAAAATCAAAAATGATATCAAAAATATATGTATCCCTTTTCGACCATCACAGATAACGACTACAGGAAAAACTATTTTGCGTAAAGACTCTTCTTTATATCGAAGCTTTATATGATGAGTTCCGACGGAAGATCCAAAATGAAAAACAAAATATCCTCTAAAACAAAAACATCATAAAAACAGTGAAAGTTTCACCTTAGTAGCAACTTAACCTTCGCCGGCAAAAAGTGGTATATTAACTCTACCGGCCAAATGGACCATGACTAATGGATCATGATTGGTGCATAACGTTCTTATGTTATGTTTACTAATTTCAAAATCACTTCACCGAAAGAGCTTATATTTTGGCCGGTGATCCAAAGATGGTGCACCCTGGCCGGCTAAGGCCCCTATTTCGAAAAATCACTGATAAGTTAAAATTGGTAACCTCTAAGACATAACTTACACATGATTAAGCCCATTAGGAATAATAATTGGAGCGTAGCCACCTTCTCTCACTCTCATTAAGTGTCCAAGTACATTGACCAAGTAGTGCTCGCCATTAAGAAAGGTGGCACCAGTCGACTTATTAAGTTTTCGTGATTTGGTGAACAAGATCATGTTTTGCATAAATCAGTCAATCATGGGAAATATTTTGTCAAATAGACTGACTTTACCGTAAAAACTATTAGTTTAAGTTCGAGCAGCGCGCAACTAACCCTTTCTCTACGACTATGTTGCTTGCTTAAAAAACAGAGAGATTTATCTACAAAAACTTTCATGAGGAAAAAAGTCTTTAGGAACTCTTATTTTTTCATCAGTTCCATTCAAATTTGAGAGAAAAAAATTTTGAAATGTTCTTATCCAATAGTATGGACAATTTTGTTTCTTAAAAAGGAATCAAATTAAACCTAATTAACAAAAGTCTTGTCTTTTGCCCAAGTGAGGAATAAACCAATTATTGGACGTGCATTTTTGGATGACCAATAAGAAATCTTATCAATTGCTATATTTTGCATACAGTGGTGTGAGGAGTTTCCGCGCGGCCTAAAGACCGCGCCCCTAAAGAGCGGGTTAAAGGTGCGGAAACGCAGCACTCATTTTTGCTACTTCTATAAGAAAATAGTAGAAAAAGTGCGGGCTAGGGGTGCGGGAACGAAGAACTCACATAGGGTGCGGAAACTTCT